GTTATTCTAAGAGGAAGGCACTGCTGCTTGTGTCCTCAGTTATAGTTATACAGTAGATGTATAGTAGTATGTATGTAGTAATGTGGAAAATAATTCAGCCTGAAAAATACCTAAAAGGCTGTAAGTGTAGACTTGAATCTGTGAATATAAGAGTCATATTGCACAACAAAGTGGGACACCAAAGTGTTGATTGTATATATGAGGCTGCAAATAAATATTGTTTTTTATTATGGATTAGTATTCTGAATATTTTCATGATTAATCAGTTTGTAAAAGTTCTTGAAATAGTGAGAAATGTCAAAAGTGAAACCTTCACAATACTGACTTTTTCCAATGAACGGCCCAAAGATTATTAAAAGGAAGAAGCTGGAACAATAAAATGTTTAGCACTTTTACAAAAAAAACAAAAAACAAACAAACAAACAATTATAAAGATAGCATCACATTTTACAAGCTTTTATCTTAATTTGTGTCATAATTATTGACTACATCTATGTTAAATATACAGTTATCTTTTCAATAAAGTTTAATAATAGAGTAAACGCACCTTAATTGTTACTGAAATGTAGTATAGAATAGGTGTAAGGTATCTTTAAAGTGGAAATATTCAAATAAAGTACAAGTATCTCATATTTGTACTAAGGTACAATACTTGAATGATCTTATTTTCATCATTGCAGTCAATGGAACCCATGTAAGACTCATATAAACAGATTTGTTAAGTGGCATGTATAAATGATTTATGACAGTTTGTGTTATTTACCAGTTTTCTTTTGTTAAATCTTGCTTTTTGCTTTTTACAGCTGACCGTAGCAGTAGTCAAAACATGGAGAAAATCAATGTTGAGTGTTGATTAAGTGGTGTGTATCTAAGAACATTCTGACATGACATCTAGTGACATGTCATGACATTAAACATAAGAAAATATTATGATTACAATTACGGTTAAACATATCATAATAATAACAATAATCATCCTGCCTGCTGACAATCAAACTTTTTCTATCTAGTTATCCTTGACCATTGCACCCTGCAAAAAACTCATGAGAATGACTAAGCATTTAACAGCCTTCCTAGATATCCTGTCTCCACTAAACATTTCTAATACAACAAATATCTAACCAATATCTATCTGACTAAAAAATACCTAACACCGTCATCCGAACCCAACAGGCCTGTACATTATATCTGTTTTGGGCTAACCCCATTCTACACAGGGACGTCAAACCGTGACGTCTCTGGTGCCAGCCGTGCAGCTGGCCATAGCAATAGTCAAAACATGAAGAAAATCAATGTGTGTGTGTGTGTGTTGATTAAGTGGTGTGTATCTAAAAACATTCTGACAGGACATTCAGTGACATGTCCTGACATTAGGCATATGAAGATATTATGATTATGATTAAACACGTCATACAGTAATCAACTCTCTATCTAGTTATCCTTGACCATAAACAACCTGGAGTAACTTATGAAAATGAGTAAGCATTTAACAGCCTGAGCTAGACATCCTGTCTACACTAAAAACATTTTGTACAACAAGTACCTAACCAATATCTATCTGACTAAAAATACCTAACAAGCGCTTCACTGTTTTGACCACAGGCTTTGCAGCTTTAAGTTTCTGCGTGTAGGTTGGAATAAGATGGACCATACAGTGATCAGAGAGTCCAAGGGCTGCACGGGGGACAGAGCAATAAGCGTCTTTTATTGTTGTGTAGCAGTGGTCCAGTGTGACTTTGTCCCTGGTGGGACAGGTGAAGTGCCGTCTGTATTTGGGCAGTTCGTGGGTGAGATTTGCTCTGTTAAAGTCTCCTAGAACAATGAGTGGAGAGTCGGGATGTTCCAGTTTTACACTAGTTATTAGTAGGGCCAGGAGCTGTAGTGCACTGGCGTGGCTGTTCGGTTGTAAATAGACACCAATCAGGATGAAGCTCGAAAATTTTCAGGGTGAATAGAAGGGTTTGCTATTGATACAAAGAGTCTGTGTATGTCCTCTGTGGCACCGTGACATTTGTGCACCAACCTTCATTTATATAGAGACAAATTCCCCCTCTTCTCGTTTTCTCGGACAGTTCCGTTACGCGATCCGCTCTGTACACCTGGAAGCCCAGTACTTGTATCGCGCTGTCCTCTAGGAGTTGCTGAGCCAAGTCTCCGTGAAGCATAAGGCAGCAGCATGTACAAAGTCAGGGTTAGTCTTCTTGACAAAAAGGATGTCATCCATCTTTTTGACTAGGGAGTGGAGATTTGCTAGGTGGATAAACGGTAGTGGAGTCCATGTTCCTCTCTGGCGAAGCCTCACTAAAGTGCCCACACGTTTGCCACGCGTTTGTTCCAGGTCCCGCATATAGCAGCTGCGCCTCCGATCAGAATGTCCACACAGTTTCTTCTTTCACAAAAATCGGAGAAAAGTAGTTTGGTGTGAGTTATCCAATATTTAACAGTTCTTCTCTAGTAAAAGTAATCCGGGATGGGTTGCAAGAGACCGAGAAAACAAAGAAAAACAACAAACACAAGAGAGCCATCGCTGTCGCCACCATCTTAACCATATGGCCCCATTCTGATTGTACATAGTACCCTCTTTTTTTCTTACTTTAATGACCTGTTAAACAGAAAAAAGACAACTCGGCAGTTCTTTCACTTTCTGGCCTTGGCTTTTTCCCATTTACTGCACCTTCGGCTGCTCTTAGATCAGCTACTTTAGGTTTAACTGCTGACTCCTCAGCCTTGAGGCCACCTTTCTTCATTTACTCAGTCTCTTAATCACTGATTATAAGCAGTATATCTTCTTTTGGGTAGTCTTTTCTCACTCTAAAGTGTTGTGTGGTACTCTGATAAACCCAGCACCTAGTGTATGTTAAGTGGGCCGTACCCTACCTCTACAAAGAATTTCATCTAAATCCATTCATTACTCTGAGTTATGCTCTGAACAAACCAACCAACAAACCCACAAATACCAGTAAAAACATTAACTTCACCTTTACACAATTATAATATTCAAGTCAAGTGTCCCTTTCTTATTACATACAGGCATTTCTATTTTTAGCCAGGGTGACCTCTTAGAAAATGCATTCACTCATTTTGTTTCTTCTCTTTCCCATACACATTTCAAATAAGTTTTGACATCAGACATTTTTACCATGGTAAAATGTCTTACTGAGTATGACACTTGAGGGCTGTTTTTGTGTGTTTTCCTACCAGGCCCTCCGTTCATTGTCTCACCGCCGGAGAACATTACAGTGAACATCTCACAGGACGCCTTCTTTACCTGCCAGGCAGAGGCCTATCCTCGTAACCTGACCTACACCTGGTTCTGGGAGGAGGACAACGTCTTCTTCAAGAAGTAAAGTTATGATCGGGTTCATTATTGTTTGCTATATTACTTCACCTGTCTGTTCCTACTGTTCACCAGCCACTGTCAAGAGCTGTCGTGTTGCTGTTTTTGCGGTGGATATGCACCAGACAGAAATTACATAACTTTTATGTAACACAAAAAAAGGCATAATTAATTGCTTTAAAATGTTTTTAGCTGTGCTGTAAACACAACAACAAAGAATATATCAAGGAACCTAAACATGATTTTAAGAAAGGTTACTGCTTTAACAATGCATATCTGAAATTTGGCAACTAGGCAGTCAGATGGTGATGATGATGATGATTTATTTTTGTAGCTGGAGACAAAATTTAAATTTTGAAAAGTCAGGGCACCTGAAGACACCACACTGTAAAGACCAGTTCAGATATTAGCCTACTTTTTTTTACAAAGCCACTTTAATATAGAAGTCTCAACAACAATGTAATAGGCTCAACCTGTAAGAGTTCTGTAATGCTGTCAACATGGCAAAGTCTGAGCTTAATGCTGCTGCATTCAAGTTGGAGTTGAAAAACTTCTCATAAGACCATGATACAGATCAGCAGTCCCTATTTCAACTTTCATTGCTGCCATTGGCATGAACGAGTAAATGAATTTCAGGGTTTTCCCTGCCATAGAAAGGTGCAGCAGCTAGGTATTTTTGTCGAGCACCTTAAGCCAAATGAACATTAAATAGGCTTTAGGCAACACATCAGAATGAATACACACTAAAAACAAAAGGGAGAATTCTATGTGCTAAAAAAAGGAATAGACTTTTGACTGTATGTACAATAAATGTTGCCAGCTTTCATCCACAAGTATTGCAAGACTAATGGTCAACAAAAGAGAGAGGGGGAAAAACTAAAATAATAAATAATAAAATTTCAAACTCCCCAACCACCACAACCTCCTCAACCTAGACTGCACCTAAGCCCTTTGAAAACCTAGGGAAAACCCTGGAATCTCCACCAAAATGCCTAGACAAATTTAAAATCTTGCCTTTCAATACTCATGCACTGTTTTAAAGTGACCAGCAGTACTCTCCATTAATGATATTTGAATCATGATAAGATGAAAGAGATTCATTAGAGAGAGCAGGTTGTGTGTCTGTCATGCTAACAATGGGCAACTAATTAAGGATTCAGCATCAAAATAAGTTTTAAAATCCATCCAGGATGTAGCCTGTGAGAAACCTGCAAACAATCTTCTCACCTCATATCATACCACTTTCTCTAGTGTACCAGGCAGAGTCCTCCATGTGCCCAATTTTAAAAACCCGTACCCACAAAGCTCCATATCAGACCCGACCTGTTACCTCAAGTTACAGTATATCTAAATGAAATCCAGATCTTACCTGACCCATTCACATAAAACTCATGAGGAATACTAGTGAAGAAATGTCAGTCAATAGGCACATCTCCCTCTGTTGCCACAACCAGTGACATTTGTGCTGTTGATGCTTGTATGCTGTTCTGCATAATCATAAAGTTTCCCACAGCCACTTCAATGCACTGTTTGTGAAGAAGACAGGGATGAACCAGGCTGTCCTGCATATTGTATGCTGAACAAAGGGAACGTTTTCTTTTTTTTTTTTTACTGCTTTTACCATTTCATGTCAGCCACTATATTTTTTATCTTTTTTATTTTTATTTAATGAAAATAGAAGATAGTCTATATGTAAACTCCAGGCCTCATTTAGAAATTTCAAATTTATGCTTTCTAAAATACAGGCACGAAAATGCTATTTTATTTTACAGAGTTGATACATAGTTAAAAAGGTTAAAATAACAGCCTTAACATGAAAAGCTGAGTAATGCATTGAATAACCTACTTAATGTTAGCTGAAAGTAAAATAGTTGCTGCTACCTATCACAGAATATGGTGCAGTACTGGCTGAGGCCAATCACCTGTCCCTCCCAAGTTTCAAAATCACTCTAGTTTTTCTCACTAAATAAGGAGAAATGCCAAGGACATCTAACTGTGTATAAAGAACCTGTGCTAGACATTGGTGCACATCAATCAGTCAAATTCGCATAGAGCTTCAGTGTAAAATTATGAAACATTCTAAACTCATATTTTTGATTGAAAAATACTTTATGCTTTGACCAAGCATGTGTTTATTTTAGGCACCCTGATTGATGAGTCTTGAATCTTTTCTATTCCCTTTCAATTCAAATCATTTTCAGTCGTATAGCTATACATCATATTATAAATATCTTCTGTTTATCTGAAAACCGCTTCACAGACACTTGCTAAACATGTCAGATTAGATAAAAGAATGTGAAAAGAAAGTAAACATTGTGTAACAAGTACATGATTCCCTCTCTTCATTTCTTTGTAAAGAATGTTATTGCCTTTATGATTAAATGTTTTTTTTTAGAGTGCAATAACAGCCATTCATACTGAAATGAAAAGTAACATTAAGAAAAACTCAGAGCATCATGGGGCCCCCCCAGTGG